TTTACATTTTTTGCCTTTTTTAATACAATAAATCTGAAACTCAATCCAAATGTAATTAAAATCTATACATCATTAAATTCCTAATACGCAAAATACATGCACAACAAAAYCCGTATCAAAATCAAAAAACTATGCTAAACGATGTTAAATCCGTTAATGCACAATTGTCAAAATAAAAATCAAATCAACGCACACAAAATAAAACAATAAAACGTAATGCGAAAACGCCGGAAATTGTTGAATAATCGCCGATGCTGATGACAATAATGATGATGGCGGGCTGCAAAAATTGCGACCATTATGGGAAAAACAACAAACAATCATTAAAAACAAAAACAAACCGTCACTAACAAAACATATATACAAACATTATGAAAAACAACAACAACCATTATTGAAACCAACAATAACAAACACCATTATGAAAATGAACAACAACGACCACATGTCTCTTGCTGTGGTGGCTGGCTGTGCTGCTGTTGCCTTTTGATCACTGATTTCTTTCGCCGTGAACTCTAATCCCGCTTACTGTGCGCAACTCAATGCTGTTTTCGTTGTTGTTGATTGGGTTTTTTTCACATATCTCTCTAACAATAACGACCGTTCTATACAAAACTAATGAAACATCGGATAACGACCGGTTTTGATAACCAAACAACAAAAACGAATGACAAAAAAATGCAACTACCCACTGCAAATACAACTAAACCAATTTGAAACGGATACGCAAAAATAAAATGGAAATCAAAAAATAAATGCACACACCCGCGCAAATAAAAAAACAAAAAAATAAAAATAAAACCCGTACACACATCAAATTGCAATTTGAACGCAACGGCTGTGCGCTGCTGTGGCCACACTAACACACCAATACACATATACTTGCGAAAATAAAACCAACACATTACTTAACCCCAAAACATAACCGCACATACCACTCTCACCACTGCCACCGCTCAAACAAATAAACTACGAACCACCACTACAACCATAACACGACCGAACGTCATACAATCACACACACATACTCACTCACTTGCACATATATGACTATGCATATCAATAAACGATCTGCGCTTCAACACCCACCTCAATGGCTACGGTGCTGCTGTGCTGTGCTGCCTCCCCCTTGTATTGTCTGCGCTTTCTATCTCCGATTGCAACCCATTTGAATGAACAACGTGCTGCACCACCACAACACAGGTCGCTTGGATTAAGGCCGATGCGAAGGCGATTCTGGCCATACACGAGCACGTGATAACGAACAATGATCGATTGTCAGTCACACATAATGACTTCAATACGTGGACGTTGGTCATAAGGAATGTGAGAATGGATGATTCCGGCAAGTACATGTGTCAAGTGAATACGGATCCCATGAAAATGCAAGTAAGTGCCGTATAACGAAACAATGAAAAAAAGAAAAACTGCCAAGCACACACACAAATTTACACACAAGTACGAGTACCGAGCCCACACTGTTATCTGGCCACTTATTTGGCCGCGTGTGTAAGCGCATTTGCCAATTTGTATGCAACTTGTAGATGTTTAGTTTCAAACGGCTGTGGCATGATTAATTGCATATGAGCGCCGATTGCCAAATGGCGAAGGCAATGAAAATCTCTTCAAACCTTCTACAAACCTTCGAACACTCCCAGACAACTTCGATTTGCATGCGCACAAGTGTGAGTAGGCGTTTGTGTGTGAGTGTTTTGTAGAAAATCTTGTACGAGATTTTTGACTTGTTATTATCGTCTTCGCTCTTTCAATCACCCACAATGAGCCTTTATGCAGACAAGCCGTACATATGTACATACACTTGTGCTCACATAATTAAGCCACTGCATAGCAAAACTACGTTTCTGAAAATAAATTCACCGAATTAGCTTTTTTAGGAAGTTACTAAGATCATATTCATAGAAATAAGTATCGTGGTTGGCGAWAWAATGAAAATAAACTCGCAGTTGATCTAGTCGCGTGTGCTCATATAATTAAGCCAGTGTTACAAAAGCTTTGCAATCACTGTCTGTGTAAAAAAAAAATTATTA